ATTATATAAAATTATATGTAAAATTACTTCCACTCATCCAGTTCAGGGTTGTAATTGTAGCTGTGAAAAAGTGAGAGGTGGGGGCTCACCCTGAACAGTTCAGGAATCTATCACAGGGCTAACACATAGACACAGACTGTGGAAGGAAGCCAGACTACCCAGAGAAAACCCACGCAGAAAGACTGTTCGCAGAAAAACCCCAAACTGCTGATGGATTTGAACCCAGGACCTTCTTGCCGTGAGGCTGTTTTGCTAACCACTGCACCTCCCCATAATGACATCAGTTTTTCCAACAAGACATTTCACACATCTCTTCCAACAAGACGTGTGAAACGTTATCACAGCCAGAGCGTGAATTCTTGGCTTTGAGAAAAGCTTGGCGTGAGAACATGTAGTGACATTCTCTTACGGCATTCCTCCTAGAATTCACTATGACCTCGATGTCTGACCTTTCAGTTCATCCCCAAGTCCAAGTGAACATTTCCACTACGTTTGAAGAAATTTGTTCAAGGCATTTTTGATATATTCAGTTAATGAGTTTTGACTCATTCTCTGAGGTCACATTTTAGCCATTCAAACTCATCAGTCCATCACTAAGTACAAGTGAACATTTCTGCTAAATGTTCTCCACCTCTGATGATCTGTCTCCATCTCACCCTATCCTTCTCCCACACTAAACCTCTACACATCTTCCTTCACTACATCCATTAAGGTCTTCTGTGGTCTTCCTCTTTTCCACCTGCTTGCCAGCTCCAACCTCAACATCCTTTGTCCAGTATATCCACTATCCCTCCTCCAAACCATCTCAGCCTTGTATTCTCTAACTTTGTCTCTAAAATGCTCACCCTGACCTGTCCCTCTGATATACTCTTTTCTCATTTTTTCCATCCTGCTCACTTGCAGTGAAAATCTCAGTTTCTTCAACTCTCCCGCTTTCAGCTCGGCCTCCTACCTCTTCGTCAGTACCACCGTCTCCAAACCAAACATCTCAGCAGGTCTCACAACCATCACGTAAACCCTTTCTTTCACTTTCGCTGCTGTCCACTGATACCTATCTCTATTTGGTTGTTTATGAAGTGATGTAATGGTCCTTGAATCGGCTATTCCAGACTCAAACCCTCATTTGTCTGCAAGAAAGCGAATTTGACTGGTACTCACCTGTCAGAAGGGAGCTGCTCACTTTAGTTTTGGTTTGAAGGATTTTCTTGCCTGTTGTATTTGGAAACAAAATATTTTTAAAAAATCCACAGTAATATTTATCTACTTATGGTTCCCTTCAGGTTTTGATCCTTTGCTAAATAGTTCCTCCTTTTTCTTTTCTTTTTTTCAGCCGTGTTTCTCCTCTGGCAAAGAGGGAAAACCTTCTCTTTGTGGCAGAAAGAAAAAAAATGACATGAAACAGAGAAAAAGTGTTACACATGTCAGAAGAAGAAAGCAACAAGCCTAAATGGACACTAACTCACACTGTGTCATATTATTAAGGAATGATGCACATGTTTAGAACCAAACAGGATTTAAAGGATATGTTCCCCTATATGCAAAACACACATGAGTTCTGAAACCTGAATTAAAGGAATGTTAAAAAGATAGCTGGGCCTTAACAAAACTGGTTAGAGGAAAGCATCATGCTATGAGCATTTATTAACTCGGTTTTTCCTTGTCTCTTTCCATGGCCCGATTCCCGTTGCTTAACAAAGTGAGCCTCATGACAAAAACTCTAGTTCAGTCTTTACTGACGCGAACTGAGAGGGAAAAAATATTCTCAGCATCACAGGGATTATCCGGAGCCGACAAAAACAGAAACAGCTGCAGTTTGACTCTCAATATGAGTGAAAGCATACAGCGAGCGTGCAACCTGAAATTCTTTTCTCATCTCTAACGGTGGGGTACAGTGCCAAACATGAAAAGGAATTTCTTGCTACTGTAAAATAAATGTTTACTTTTGAGTTGAAGTATTTCTCATCAGATCGGGACTAAAACCTTCCCCATCCTTGAGGAAACTTGTTCTAATTCTGTTTTCATATGACAGGAAATTAAAAGTGATTCCACAGTTTTTTCCCATCATCATTCCTCATTCACGAGACTCATCTGAACTGCAAGACGTTGTTCATAGTGCATTAACTCGATCTCTCTCTGTCTTGTTATCATCAGCCTTCCAGATGTTAATATTTTCCCTCTTATTACATCCATTCTTTCCAACAGGCCATGAAAATCAGATAAAATCCCCTTTGAGGCTTAACCTGTGAGTCGTTCCATTACATTCCTTTAAATATGACCAACAGTTGTCACATTAAACAAACAACAACAACAAAACACTGACTGATCTGAATGTTTCAGCTGACACATTTAAAATGGGCAATTAGTTTCAACACAGTGTGCGAAAAACGTTTCCATATTTACATTGACATGCTTTTAATTTGGAAAAGGCTGAATAAAAGGATACTTATGCAGCTCTTCATTGTGCAGTGTCAAGTGAGCCGTAGTCCCACTGCTGTGTGTGATCAGTCCAGAGCTGTGATGGGATAATGACTTTTGGGGAAGGATTTTACATCTTACATCTTTGAGAAACCCCATTTAACTATGATCTGTCTGGTAGTTTCCTAAGGTGTCATTGTGAGTTGCCTGGTGCTTCATCTGAGGGTGTTACTTTGTCATTCCTTTCTCTGGCTCAGGGTCATACTGGTGAATCAACGTTTCCCCAGAGGATTTGATGGGTTTGGCTCGTCAACACAAGGCTGCTTGGGTAATTATTGTGATGTCCTCATCTCATCTGTGCTCTCTGTTGTCTTATTTCCATCATCCTGCTGGCCCAGATTTAAGATTCTTTTATGCAGACTAGCCTGTGCTCATCTGTGCCTTCTGAGTTGTCAAAGTTTGTGACCGCAGCACTGCTAACATGAGCTCTTTCTGGAACCCACAGCCCTACTTGCCAGCAACCTAAGATAGTAAAAAGATGGACAAAGTTTGTTATTCTGAGAAATGAAGCCAAGGCAAAAATCCTTTAAACTTGAATTCGCTTTGACAGCTAGAAGTGGAGTAACTGTTCTAGTTGTGAAGTGTCAGCAGGTTGTATAGACATCTGTGGGAACACAGCGCCCTGTGCTTGTCTGCTCTCTATTATCAGTAAATTCATCAGTTTTAGTTTATTTAATAGAAATATAATGTTATACTTATAAATATACAATTATTGGTGTGTAATTACATGTATGTCTTCTAATGCATCCTTAAAAACTTAGAATTAATCCACTAAAAATATATAGGAGTTGGTACTGGTTTGTGGAACTAGTGTTGCCCTGCCATCTTGAATACAGTGGCTGAGATGAAGGTGGCCATTGGGATTCATTGCGTTTCATATCTATCTAGCCATATAAGTTACTTTTAATTTAAAAGTGCAAATACATATTTTCACAATCTTGTTCTTATCATGTCTTTCTCCTGCTCTTGCACTGGAATCCCCTCCTTGATTCCTACTTCATCCTCCTGAATTAAAGTCAGGACTCTAACAAAAAATGTGCATAAACATACTTATTTATTCTCAATATTTTCATAGTTACTTATTGCCAGCAGAATGTCTGTAATGCTGCCTGCAAGCCAGCTAAACAACAACACCAGCTGGTTATAAGCTAACATACTAGCTAATGTTAGGCTCAAGTGGCCTAAAAATCATACTTTCCCACTTATAAACATCTTGATTACATTCTCACATTGTATGAGAGTTTATTCTCTTAGCACCCAAGTTCAACAAAGTTAGGTCCACTTTAAAGAAAGTATTACTAATGCCAGTTAGCTTGGGCTAACGGCAGCTAACAGAGGCTAAGGGTGGCTAACAGAGGCTAACAGCAGCTAACAGTGGCAAAAACAGCAGCATTTTCCTCTGTGATATTTTAAACACTGTACCTGTAACAGCAATTTTTTCCTGAGGATTCTGAGGACTCCTTTAAATTGTAAATCTCAAAGTCATCTTAGACCTGATGACTTTAATTATGTCTAACTGTCCATTTGTACCATTTTTTTCTATTCCATCTCTGAATGGTGGAAACATACTTGGACACGACATCTGCACCTAAACAGAGGTGACACCTCTTTCACTGAATATCAGTTAATTCCCACTCTTTTCCTTTCCCTGTTTCCATCCTCCTTATCCCCTCCTTCCCCTCCACCCATCCAGCGATGACAGGCTGTCACTTGCAGATGAAAATTGCGTACATTCTGTCTCCCCCGGGTATATGATGGAACATATGATACAGCAAATAGCAGGAAGGGAGGGGCAGGGCAGGAAAGACAACTGGTGGATCGCAACAGATGATTGATTTTGTGGAACACTGCAGCCATCATATAAATGCTCATTTGTGCAGAAAGCTTTGGGTTTGGGATCAGCCTGCCGTTTTTTTGTATCCTGGACAAATTTGCACCTCTGGAATATTCACTCTTACCCTTAAAAATCATTAAAACTGCCTACTGGCAACACATTCGGGTAGGAAAATCAGAAACTACTCTTGTTTCTTATAATTATAGTGATGAGTTTCTCATAAACAAAAAACCCATTAAAAAGTCTGCAGAGGCTTAAAAACTCCAAAGTTTTGAAAAGAGTTTTATGTCCATATTCTACACATAGGCGTATGCTGTTTGACAGTGAAACATCTTGAGGTACTTTTGACCACAACATGTGGTAATGTGATTTTTGTATATAAATCTTTTTCGCGGGCTGTGCTGAAAATCCTCTCCACCTGAAGGAAAATCTACCCAGTCTGAAACATGAGGCCAAAATTGCGCTGTTCTTGAGCCGAAAAACCAACATAACTGAACATTTAGGTTATATTATAACAGACTGTGCAGCAGTGTGCTTCAGCTTGTTTACTTGAGGTAAAATGAATGTGTTGATGGCATTTTCCAAGCGTTTTGTAATGTCTTCATAAGCTCTTGAAACCCTGTTAGTTTGACCAACCATTAAAAAACAATCTGAAATACTTTAATTATTTAAGCTAGAGTATTTTAAAAAATCATGTATAAACACCACATCTAATCCCAGGAATGTAATGATCATGTCTGTGTGGATATGACCATTCTTTCTGACCTCTTTACAGTTAGCTGTTGGGTTCCATAGATCTTTATTATCCATGATTCATACAAACTCTTGCAGCATTTCATCGCAGCATATTACGCTAATCTTTAAACTGAACCAAGTTAGTGCTTGTTCTAGATTTTTCCTGCATTTGTCTTATGCATTACTGTCTCTTTATTGTCCTCCAATCCCAAGTAAAATTACTTCTCATTTCATCTTTGTTTTGAATCTGACTGGTGCCCACTGACATCATCACCATGGCTCCAGCAATGCACACACACACACTTACACACATACGCAGACACACACACGCTTGCTTTCATATCTAAGTGAGGACATTTAATTGACATAAAGCTTTCCCTAGCCGCTTACCCTAACCCTAACCATCAAAAATAAATGCCTATAAAACCTAACAATATCCAAATTGTAACCCTAACCCTAAAACCACATTTTGAGTCTCTAAAATGCCTTCAAACTTGTGCGGACGGGCATTTTGTCCCCATAAGGGACTGCTGGTCCCCACAATTATGGTAGCATTCCATATTTTGGTCCTCACAAAGATACACACACACACACACACACACACACACAGACACACACACACACACACACACACACTGCATAGTGGTTACTCAGCCCATTTGCACTGACAAAAGATCATGCTGGTTCTCGGGAGATGGACAAATTACAGGAACAGAAGCTACAATAACTGCATTCTTTTCCCCCGATTTGTTCTTTGTTTTTTTCTTTCGACATCTCTAAGCTTTAGTACAAGGACACCTTTTTTAGCTTCTCCTGCCTGTCGGTTTCCTTTACTTCTTGTCTAATGGGCTAAATCTGTCACTGTCCTGTTAGAAAAATAAGCAGAGCGCATAAGTAAAAGCAGGAGGACAGAGAGCGACTGTGTTCTGCTCCTGCCGGTTCTGATGAGAAAAGCAGACAGAGCACTGGCAGTGCTATGCCGAGGCTGTCTGGAAGAAAGAGACAGGGAGGAAACATTGCGTGGTCAAAACAGACCAAAAAGGTCACTAAAGATGCACCTGGGATGCTCAGGAACAAACAGAGCCTTGGACCGGACATGAAGGAAGTGTGCATAAACTGCAATTATACTGCAGCTTTTTTGCATCTATATTTGTTAAAGTTAGACTTTTTCTATCATTTTTCAACAAACTCATTGGTGCTTATTATAGAGGAGCATTATTGCCTTAACAATATTCAATATTTGGGAAAACCTCACCTCAGTCCTGCATGTTTACCAGCCAAAACTGAGCTACATGTTTACCAGTCTGTGAGACTACTGTATTTGTATTGTGTGTGTGTGTGTGTGTGTGTGTGTGTGTGTGTCTGCAGGAACTACTACAAAGGACGTTTTGAGTATTTTGACAGGTGTTTATAAGTCTGTATGTCTGCGGACAGATTGTGTCAACATGATAACACAGCAACAGTGGAATATACAGTCAGGAAATGTTACAGTTATGAAAAACTGAGTGTGAGACTCAGAGATGGGTGTGGACCAACCGAAAAGTACAGTGTAAAGCGTGCTGGAGATAGAGTGGCCAAGAGGTCATCCAGTTTGTGCTTCTGGTCCAGTTTCTTTTAAAAAAAAAAGTGTGTTTCTAGCCCCAATATGAGGTATTGTAATTGAATAGATAAATATGTTATGTTTTTAAAAATAATATGGTCTGGAGGATTTGGAGGATGCTGTGGCTGCTTTGATCCCATCACATGGTGCTGTTTAGTTGAATCCACTTTTTCCTCTGTAATCTGCATGAGTGATAGCTTGTGTTAAAAACAGAAGATTGAGTGGAATGGTTAAAGTGTTGCGAAAATCGCGGACCTTTTCCCGTAAACAGCATATGAAGTGAGCTTGCAACAAAAACCCATCAAACGTAAAGGAGACAGTTAAGTGACTACATCCATGTGCCGTGAACTATAGTGGATAAATCAACTCTGGCTGCACTACTGGTTCTAATATAGCCTCGCAGGGCATCAGAACCTGGTTTCAGTCATCAGTGGTAGGATAAAAATCCAGCCTCGCACACTTTCATGGTCTTCATTTAGAACAAGGACCAACCCTTTTGGGACAGAACTAGCTGTGGTGATATTTAGCCCCAATAAATCATACTTGACTGGGGTTTAAGGGCTTCTGGGTAGCCACAGTAGCTTGGAACCTCGCTGATCTTTAGTCATGGTCGCGTGTCTGGAGGCTGAGGAGATTGCCACTTGTCGGTTGATGTGAGTCACCAAACGGCTGATGATGATCCATGGGCATGACAGGAAAAGGGACGTCTGGCAGGTGAAATAATAATTCTGGTGAATTGCATCATTCACTTGTATGAGTGTGGGCATTCAAACAGAGCGATGTCCAGCACAGGGCCCGAAGTGCGTGTTTGTGTGTTTTGTTGGAGGGCTTAGCGATGAGAAAAAGGATCAGCGTTCTGACTCTGAGTGCTTTTGCGTTGATGAGAAAACGAGTGTGCAAACGTTACAGCTGACCACACAAACACACACATGTACGGACACACAGTGACCTATTCATCAGGGTCTGTGGAGCCTGGAAACTCCCCTGTCACAGCCAAGCACACATATTCAGACGCACAACTGGCATATGCTGAAACGCTGCGTGAGACAGACGAACAGTAGGCCTGCTGAATCCATCTGTCACATTTCATATACTTAAAATTTGCAACTTCAATAAATCTGTCGGTTTTTTTCCTTGTCTGACATGCAAAGCTTCGTATAACATTATGACTCTGTGTTTCACGCCATTTAAATCACAAGGGCTGGGATTGCTTTAGCTAATTGTCATGTTGTATGCTTTTTTGTCGTTTTGGCTGAAATGTACTTAATCCTGGGTGTGGTAAGCGCTTAAACTTCTAAAAAGATGTGAGGTTAATTTCAGATGGAATTCATAAACCACAGTTGCAAGTAAGAAGGTGCAAATTATCTAAAAAAACAGAAAATAAAGTGTCAAAAAGTGCCTTTTCTGTAATAAATTACTGCTGAAAAGCACAGTTTAGTGTTTTCATGTCTGCGGCTCAATAGAGCTGCGTCCCATATTGCTACAGTTTCCTGTTGGCCTTTAAAAGTGCTGCCACAGTTTAAGTGCTTGTGTGGCAGAAAACACAGCTTCTGAAAAGCCGATACTGTTTATCATCTGTTCGGTTGTGCAAAGCAGCAACATTAACAAAAATGTCCTAAAAATCAAACTACGAATGTTTGATCTTTAGATGGATAGGTTCTTCTGTAGCTCCTCCAACACAATAGTTAAAAAAAGCACTGAAGTAACCCTAACCCTCCACCCTCAAAATTTTCTTTGCATTCTTACATTCTCAAAGCACTTGTTCATCCAGTGATCAAGGCAAAGCCTCATCGTGTAACCAGTACACACACCTTTAAATATGTGTAGCCCTATCCTTACATAAAGGTCAGCATGAACTTATATATCCTCTAAATTTCTCGTAACCATCTGGCTGAAAACAACCACACTCCTCTCCCAGTGAAATTGGACCGGTAGTACGAGGTCCGACTTCAGGCGTCTAATTTGACTTGCTTCTTGATGTGATGGCAGAGTAAAGACAGTGAGAGGAGGAGAGAGGAGGACCAAAGAGTGAAGAGGAGGAAACTGGAACATTGTGTGACCACAGAAAGGCCGTAGCTTTAATACGCCTCAGTAAAAAACAGAGGGGAAAGCCAGAAAAACAAAAGGGGGTTTTGGCTACACCTCTTTCGCAAGCGACCTGGTCAGCTCCACAGTCAGCGTGCATATTGGGTGGGGTGTGTCACACACGCTTTGGAGCGTGATTTCCCTCCACTTTTCCACTTTCTCTGGTCAGTTTTCTGGATGCACCGCACTACTGTTATCTAATCCTAAGAACTTGTTTTCCCTTATGTTTAGAGGATAAATATCTGTTTTTGTAGTTGTGTAGTGTTTTTTAACCTCCAAATCACACAAAACAGTTTTTTTCTCCCAGCAGGTTAATACACCATTTTACTATTTTACTATTACGGATCATGACGCCACATCAACTGTCTGACTTCCAAGAATACACATGGACACTGGAGTAAATTAAGAGGATATTTCTCTTTTCTTTAGCTAC